GTCCTTACGGCTTCATATTCTGCAGCCTATTACAAGCTCATAAATTCGTATCCGTTTTCAGATTGAATGGCGTAAGAAGGCCTCCTGATTTAATACAGATTTCAAAGTTACGAATATATAAACATATCCAAAGATGCGCTGCATTTTTCCAAACAAGTTATGTAGTATTTGTATCCGCTATGCCATTTAGCAAATTTTGATTTGTTGGCCAAATTAAAGAACCACTTCTTAAAAAGTTTAGACCATTCTTTTAAAGATTTGTGTATAAAAATTCTTTTGGATATGCGCCCTTACCATCAATGAATTGTTCAATTAACCATTGGCGCTGTTTAGATTATCTGGGAATAATAAAACTGGTAATAACACGAGATTGTTTGGCAACTCTGCGCGTGTCTTGTAGTCGCGTTTTTATTCTGTCAACAAATATATAAATTTTTTTAGTTGTATTTCTTAACTTTTTGCTTTATTCGTGTTTAAATTTAAAAATTCTCTTAAAGAATAAAGTGTGAATTTATTGTATATGAATTTATTAACCATTTATATGAAAAAATCATTTTGGTTTATTGCAAGCAACAATTGAGCTCTTGGTAAAAGTCTCTCTTTTTGCCTTTTAATCTGTGTTTACAGTTTCCGTTAGTTTTCGCTCTATATTTACAGTGGGCAGGGAAGTGAGAAATTTGCTTTAATTTTCCTGAAAATTTGTGCCGTGGAAAAATTTTTTTTTTTTTTTTTGTTTTTCTTTTTCTTTTTCGTTTTTTTTTTTTTTTCCTTCTTTAGCTACTTTTTTTGTTTTCAATGGACATGGATTGTTTATTTACTCCATGTCGTGCGAAAACTGGTCCTGAATCTGAACGATTCATTTCTTGCTGGTTGTGTGATCGTTTTGGACATGCAAAGTGTGCTGGTATTACCGGCCGTGCTGCTGATGCAGTCCTTGACCCTTCTAAAGGTTTACGATGGTCATGTCCTGACTGTAGAAAGCGGGATATTGATTTCTACAAGCTCTTCACGGAGACGAGAAACTGTTTCTCAGATTTGAGCAAAAATCTCGGCTCTTTGTGGGAGAAGTTTGAATTAATCAAGACTAGGTTTGATGAATGTCGGTATATTGCGCAGTCATCTTGCTCTCCAGCTAACATAGTCTCAACGCGTAGCGTAGCGTGTGGTTCGTCACCTCCTAAGTCCGTTTCGTTGGTGCAAGTTAGCGATTCCCTAAAGGCTACAAATAATGTTAGTGTTTCTGCTACGGCTGAGTCGGTTGGTAACATAGATGTTACAAATAGTCCGAAAAGTCCTTCTGGCTTGAGCTATGCTGAAGTGGCAAGGGTATCTCCTCCCATAGATGTCACTCAATCTTCTCAGGCGTCATTGCCCAAAAGTAATAAGGGTAATAGTAAATCGTCCTCTCCTCCTCGCTGTTCGGGTGTAAATGCTGGTCGCCAAACTGAGCAAGCTGCTCGTGCAAGTGTGGTTACCCCCTCTATATTTTCCCCAACTCATAACTCCCCATCCGTTAACCCTGCTGCTCCCAGTACTGATGACATATGCTTGAAGGCAGTTCCTCCTAGAAAGGCCATATTTGTGTCAAGACTGGCACCAGATACATCTGTTGAAAACATAAGGGGTTATCTGGCTGCGAAAGCCCCTTCTGTCAATTTAAAGCGAGTTAGTATTTTCAAACTGGGTCCTTCTCAAGCTAGAGCTATATCATCTTTTAAAATTCTAGTTCCGACCGAAAATATGGATTTGATTTTATATAAAACTTTGTGGCCGGTTGGATCATTAATTAAGGAATTTATCCCTCGGGACCGACCCCGTAATGCGAATGCATTAGCTCTTTCCCCTTCAAAAAACTAAATACTTCTTCAGCCTCATTTTCTCTCATTTATCAAAATGTTAGGGGCGTAAACTCAAAAATTCGTTCTACCTTCCTAAATTCAGTGAGTACGGAGTTTTCCTGTCTGGTCTTCACTGAAACATGGCTGAAGCCAGTTCTACATTCGTCGGAACTTTTCCATAATTCGTTTCAAGTTTTCAGAAACGATCGTTTGTATCGCAATGGTGGTGGTGTTTTAATTGCTATTTCTACGGCACTCCCCACCTATTCGTTTGAATTTCCAACTACTCCCGATGTTGAATTTATCGCCATTCGAGTGAAATTTCCTAACAAACACTTATATGTGACCTGCTCCTATATTCCCCCAAATTCGGATATCTCTGTATATAAGAAACAGGCCGCCCTCATTTGTGAAGTGGCCAAGCAATCTAAATCTACCGATATAGTCCTGGCGTTGGGTGACTTCAACTTGCCTCAAGTCAATTGGTTTTACAGTGATAGTTCTGGCTGTTTGATTCCTTCCTCAACATCTGATAAAGCCGTTGTGTTCTTCAATGAATTATTTGATAATAATTTAGTTCAATACAATGGTACCCCTAATTGTAATGGGAGATTTCTTGATCTCTGCTTTGCAAATTTTCCTGAGGTTTGCGTTAATCGTTGTCTTCCGTTTAGTTTACCTGAGGATCCATATCATCCAGCATTGGGTGTTTCCTTTCATTACAAGTCTGTTGGTTCGTTGAACCTCTATAACGTTCCAAATTCAAATTTTTCATATCAACGTTATGATTTCCATAAAATCAATGTTTCCATACTAAAATCTCATCTTTCTCATTTTGTGCTCGATTTCTCAGAGGGAAGCATTGATAGCTTACTGTCGTCGTTCTACAATGTATTAAATCAAGCTATTTCTGCATCCGTTCCGATCAAGCAGTCCCGTCCTCGAAGTAAGAATCCCCCGTGGTTTAATAAGACAATTAAATACTACAAGAATAGGAAAAACAAGTTGTTCAAAAAATTTTCGAAAAGTGGTTCTTCTTTCGACTATTTCGCTTACTCTGTTGCAAGGCATAAATTTAATTCCCTCAACCGCCAATACTACTGCAGATACCTTCAGTTTGTTAAATCCTCCTTGTTTTCTAACCCTAAATACTTTTTTAAGTTCGTTAATTCCAAAAGAAAAATCTCCATAAACCCGTCGTTTGTGTCTTTTAATGGCTCCGAGTCCTCGGATGATTTTGAATCCTCAAATATCTTTGCGGAATACTTCCGACAGAACTTTTCAACTGCCAATTTTGATTTATCGGAAAATTATCCATATTCGATTTCTAATTCGGTTTCAATTCCTAACTTTGTTATATCGGAAAATGGCGTTTTTGAAGGATTGAACTCTCTGAAATATAATTGTCCGCCTGGACCCGATGGCATCCCCTCATGTGTACTTATATCGTGTGCTGGCGAGCTTTGTGATGTTATCTCAAAAATTTTTAATAAGTCTTTGAATTTAGGTGCTTTCCCTTTGTGTTGGAAGACTTCTTTCCTTATTCCTATTCACAAAAGTGGTAGTAGGCAACTTGTAGAGAACTACAGAGGCATCGCCAAGTCGAGTGTCTTACCTAAACTGTTCGAGCGAATTGTGGCTCAGCATATAGCCTTTTCCATGAAATTGTATATTTCTCCTTTCCAGCATGGTTTTCGAAAGGGAAGATCTACGGTGACCAATCTGTTGGAGTTTACTTCTCATGTTTTCAAGGCTTTTTCTAGTGGTTCTCGCACTGATGTCATTTACACTGACTTTAGCAAGGCGTTTGATATGGTTAATCATAGACTTCTTAGATTTAAAATCCAGACCTCTGGCTTTCCTCTCTTCTTAGTTGAATGGTTAAGCTCTTATCTGTATGGTAGATCATTCAGGGTTTTGTTTAACCTCATTACCTCGGACGAATTTCCCGTGACGTCTGGCGTACCTCAAGGTAGCCACTTGGGACCTATTTTATTTAATCTTTACATCAATGATTTGCCCTCCGTGATTAAATTCAGTAAGATTTTAATGTATGCTGATGATGTGAAACTGTTTACTTCTTTTTCCGTAGAATCGCAATCACATCATCTTCAAAGTGATTTGAACAATTTGGTTGCATGGTGCTCCCTCAATCTTCTGAAGCTAAATCTAAATAAATGTAAGAAGCTTTCTTTCTTAAGAAGGAAGTCGTTTAGTACCCAATACTTCATTGATTCGCACAGGTTGGAAGACGTCGATTCGTTCATTGATTTAGGCGTTCTATTCGATTATAGGTTACGTTTCAATTTGCATATTGAGTCCTCGTTAAGCAAAGCTAGGTCCGCTCTTGGTTTTATAAAGAGGTGGTCCAAAGAGCTTGATGATCCTTATATTACTAAAAGGCTTTACACGTGTTTGGTTAGACCTATTCTTGAGTATGCCTCTGTTGTGTGGTCTCCTTCATATAGATGCTACGTTGGTTCAATTGAATCTATACAAAAGCAATTCTTGCTGTTTGCACTTAGGAATTTGGGTTGGGACCCGATTTCCCCTCTTCCACCCTATGAAAATAGGTTGCTTCTGTTATCCTTACCGTCACTCGAGAAACGTAGATTTGTTCTTGGGGTTTCCTTCCTAATCAAATTAATAAATGGTGCAATTGATTCGCCCGCATTACTTCGTGAGATTTGCTTTAATGTCCCTAACCGCTTCTCTAGGTACTTTATGTTGACAAAGCTTAGTCAATGCAAATATAACTTTGAACTGTTTAACCCGCTCAGAGTTGTTTGCAAGAACCTAAATGATGTCTATCATCTATTCTCATTAACGGACTCTTTAAAGTCTATTAAAGCAATATTGCTCAACAAGCGCGATTTACCTATGTCGTACTTAAACTGATTTAACCTTAAATTTTGTCATTATGAGTCGAAAATTAATTTGTTGTTAACAATTATCGGTTGCCAAGCTTATGCATGTTTGCGATGGCTTAGGGGTTCACTTGCAATTTGGTCCTGTATCGGTTGTGGGCGTGGCTCTATGCTAATTGTGTACATGCTTTTTTTTTTTTTTTCTTTCTTTTTTTTTTTCCTCCTTATTTGTTTTATTGTACTTATACTAAGTTTTATTATTAAATAATTTTAAGATTTACTTGAGAGTCAATTTGAACTCGACTGCCATTTTGTTTTAGTTGAGTTTCTTGTATAAGTGGAATAAATAAATAAATAAATTGGATATTGCGATTGTTTTCAAAGATGCTACTTTCGACTTCGAAGGTAATAAGCAGGTTTTGATAACACTATCTAGCTTGGCTACTGCGTAGATACATGCACACTGCCCTACCAAAGGAGCCTAACAAACTGCATGAATTCGAAATATTGCCTTTGCCATCGACACCAAATAGAAATTTTTAAAATGAAATCCATTAGGGCAAGGTCTCATCCCACTACAAATTGTGCTTGCACAAGATCATGAAGACGAGTTATTGCATACCTCACGTTGCCCTTTGTTGCTGCCTACACAATAGGCGAAAACGAAAAAGTGAAATTATCGGTTCTACGACCCCAGATAAGACCCAAAGTGTTATTTTTATCACTTTCATCATGAAACTTGAGGAACTGTACATAATCTAACGGTGGAAAATCATGTAAAGCTGCTTGTTCGCTTGAGCACCATTTTCGAATTATGAAACTATGTTTCTGTAATAAGGAAGTAGCTCGTAATTCAATCGCTTGATCAATGGGACTAACGCCAAAGATTCTATTGCTTTTGCCCGTACTCATATGATTACTTAAACACGCACAAATGCAACCAAGCATTTCTACTATACCACTAACACACGTCTATTCAATTTATTCTGCTATCACACACATGTGTCCATTGTCTTTCACAGACAGGTTTGCTCTCTCTGGCTCTCTTTCATAGAGTTTGTTTAAATGCTGTCCTGAAGGCATGATAATTTTGCACCCAAATTTTGCTAGCGAAATAATCTTATATATATAGTGTTTGTATACGGTTAATGGCTCATTGTCACAAAATTCGCTATAGTATTAGGACAACAATTTTATTCTGGTGTTGTTGACGCCTGTTTTGCATTTCTAGATCGGAAGCGAGCATTCAATTCATTACCAATACCCTATTTACCTGTAAAATAAGCGCTTGTTGCAGACGTACTGTCACATATTCGCGCAAACAGTCACAGCAAGCTGCAAAAACGCATGTAAAGGGCAATACCAATCGTGGCACAAAACATTTAACTACCATATGTTGTTAGCGAAGCTGAGAAATACAGAAAAATTAAAACAACGCCAAGAGAACCAAATGTTGGCACCGCTGTAAACACTTTTTTCAATTCCCACACGCAGCGAAGACGGACAGCACAACCGAAGATTTCAGCTAAAGGCTCCGCGCTTACATACGCGCCTTAGGGCCAAATCCGGCAACAGATTATGCCAAAGACTATTTACTCAACCAGAATTATTCAAAGCATCAAACGCGTTCGTAAATTTAAAAAAAAAATTATGAATGACGGTTTAGAATAAGGGAAATATTAGGAAGTTTATAGATATATATAAGGCTTTGCAAGTGTGAATAGAGATTATAACAAAGGTAGCCTGATATGCATTTCAAATTATTTTTATCTTCTTCTTTCCATCCACATCGTTCATTTCCGTTCCATCCCGCTTATAGGAACAATATAAACCAAATCTGGAGAAGTTTTCGTGATTTTAACGTATGTATATTTATATGCTAAAATCAAGCGGGCCGATTACCAGTTGTTCAAAAATTCAAATCCTTTTTGCATGATTGTGTCTCTGTTGAGCAGTTTGGAAGCTCCGTCAGAACTTTTATCAGTGTTATGCCCAGAAGGAGTCAACTCATCATCGCCAGAAATAGTCGCTGGCAGCGATTGTAGGAAATCCAAGACTTTGCAGTTATGGTGCATTAAATTTAGATTATCTTCCTTATCATACAAGTCATCACTGCAAACCATATAATTAACTGAAGGTGTCAGAGCTGTTTTTGAAGTGGAACTTAAGTATGTTTGGCCTGAGGAACTTTTAGGTCGCGATACTCTGTTATTCCACTCCACTTTAAAATCTAAATTGTCGAAATTTATTTTATCAATGCACTCACTATCATAAGGAAATATACAAGAATTTGGCTTTGATTTGGTTGGTGGGTTCTTCAAGTCATTTTTGTTAGAATTCACACAGCTAATAGGGGCAAATTTATGAGCCTTTACATTACACAAAGATCTGTGCACGCTAGCAACGTTACAACACAAGCATTTAGTATTGATATTATTGGCAACCTTAGGACGTTTGCAATATTCGGAGCAATCATCTGTCAGTTGAAGATTGATTTGCGACTTTGTGCGGTAACTAAATGGATGAGAATGTTCATCATAAAAGACACATAAATTATCATCATGAACAAATTTTAGAGCAACTTCTTGTAGAGCAAATGTGCGCAAATTTCGCCCATCGTATCCATACTTAGCTTCTTCCTTCAATTCATGGGCCTCATTTGGATATTTTTCAATCGCAAATGCAGGTATTTTGCCTTCGGCGTCACATTTATTGAAACTTTCTAGCATTACAGCTGCTAAGGACTTTGTAGATTGAGGAATTTTAGTCAAGCTATTTAAATCAGCAGGCTTGAAAAAATCATTTAAATATCTCAGCGAAATTTCCGGTCTTATTAACGTATCATTTACGATGTCATCTTGTTCATTACAATCAAGAGTGTCCCATATGTACTCATACGAGCTTTTAGTTTCATTTATATCATACGCGATACGTGTTGCTATAGGATTTAATTGAGCAAAGTAATCGTGTATTGCATTTAACGTCATATCAACGTAGACAGGCATAGTGTCTAAATAAGAAAAATAGGAAACTTTCGCAATAAAACGAAATATATCAACATTTGGAAAACATGAAAAATGCATACTTACATTAGCTCGGGTTACGAATAAGGATTTCGCTTTAATTTTGCATCCACACTGACTTAAGCTTCTGTTTGATGGTAAAGCAAAGAGAAGGGCATAATTAAATTATAACACACCTTCATGGAAAACTATCGTGTTATGGAAAATATTAACACTTAAATTTAGCTTATTACTTGCACCATTGTTCATATTTTTTTTTTAGTCATTATAATTTCACAAGTACAAGCGAAAATATAATTACTATACTATTATTTTGCAAGTTAAATATTGTTCTCTTCTACGTTTTTCCCACGATTCCAAAGCATGAGTTGCCAATTTCAACAAGTTGCCGGATGCAAAGACGGTGTGTTATATTTTGTTTCCATTTTCGTTAAAATGTCAACCCTAAAACGGGAATCAAGGTGTAAACAAACATTACTTTAGCTATTTTGAATAACAATTAAGGGCAGGATTGAAATCGCTGATGAAAAGAAAACAGTGAAGTATTATGTGTACGCTATAGTGTAGTTCACACAGATTGCTATCATGGATTTATAGGCAATTACTTTGGTATTATTTTGTGTGTTATTGATTAAGGAATCTTTAATGTGTTTAATTAAGCAAAACAAAGTTTTTTCTTGTAATGACTCTTATAAAAGATAGGAGCGGTAAAAATGGTTGAAGGTAAATAATTTTTATTGCGTTGGCTTTTCAGTCAAAAATTTCAGTGTACCAAATATCATCTAAATGTCCCCGAAGTTACATTTTTTTTTCTAGTATATTGAACAAAAAACATTAGAACAATTAGGCAGACAGACATATCTTTCGATATGATTATCGGATGAAATTAAAATAAGCGATAAAATGTTTCTATATATAAATACTGTTATAAAATCCTGAATTTGACTAAATTAATGGATCTAAGAAATTTAGTTAAACTTAGAAATTCCAAGACGTTGGAAAACATAATAAAATCAAATAATTATGTTCGGTGCTCTTACCTATCGGTGTCCTAAAATGTGAAGAGGGATCAATGAATATGAAATTAACAATACAATATCTGAGAACGATCAAAAGTGGATGTGTAGGTTTACTGGAAACTTTTTAAAACTTTTGAAAAAATAGAAATGTGTTACTTTAGACCTGTCTAGACAGAGTACAAGCGGGCAAATTTGAATTAAAAATATCAATCTAGCTGTTAGGAAAAGAGAACTTAACAATAAATGAACAATGATAAACTTAGGCCAATTTATTAAACTTTGTTTTATATTGTTTTTCAGAGATATCAATTTTACAGTAATATTTCTTCCAATTTTATATTTAGTTCATTTATTTACGTTTCTCCCGTTTCTCATTTTCTTGTTATACACTTACCCATGATATCCCATATCCGTTGCAAATACAACGAACGAACAGCCAAATTCAATAAGAAAGTAATCGTGTACCGTCAATTCATAATATGATTGTATTGTTTTGGTCTTTCTTATCGTACGATAGCTCTTTATAGAGAATCCTAATTATGTCAGGTTTCGAATTTTTTGCTTTAGATACGCTCAATAACCGTAAAATACGTTTTCTCATATATGTGAAATCAGACGAAAACCAAACAGCCCTCGTTTTACTTTTAGTTTGGTTTTTGGGAGTTAGTGTTGGTTGTTCAGAGAACAGAAGTAAATAGAAAACAAAATAAATCTCTAACAAAATGCTTTTACTTACAAAGAACTGACTAAAAAAAATTTTAAATGATCCCAATTTTGAAAAGAAAAATTTAATTTGAAAATAGAACATAAAAACCATTTTCAAGGAATCATGTTGTTGAATCATGTAACACAAAAATAAGTTTTGATTTGCAATTCACTATACAAAATTATGCACTGTTTATAAATAAATAAAGTGCGGTAATGCATAAAAATATATAAATTAAAAGAATACCAATGACGATTAATTAAATGAATATATGTAAACGACCACAAATACTTACATAGTGTCCTTTTAGTTTATTTACTTAATTTTATTTACTTACACATAAAACTGCGCTAAAAAGCCGAATTGAATAGACTCTTAGACGTAAATTATATACTAATATTTTTATTAACAACTAATGCAGAATATATGGTAGTCTAATAAAGTCTACATACAGTATGAAATATTACTTAAGGTTAAGTTATAAGGCAAATTATGCTTTAATCCCACAAAAAGCACATAAAAGTTCTCATGCAGAACTACTGAAAGGTTCGAAAAACAGCATCTTTGCTTAACGGTACCTAGTTTCTGTACTTGTTTTCGCACATTTAGATAATAATTGATCAATGTAACGAAATATCAAAAACAATTGCAATTAGTCGTGCTACTAATCGAACTATTATCAAAAACTATAATAACTAACATAGGAAAAACGACAAATTCCTGGGGGCAAAGAGTAGGAATTGCTTTTAAACGGATTTTATTGACTCTAACACCTATAGAGAAGAGATGAAACAACATAAGCATTTTCAAGTGTTGACCTAAGTAAACTAAGCTGACGAATGAACGTACGTTTTCCAACTTGTGTGAATCGATAAAATAAGCAGTATTAAATGATTTTTTCGCTGAGAAAGCAACCGTCTTACATTTTTTTGGATTTGATTTTGTGGACTTTAATGAGCGCCATGTAACCAAATCTTTTAAGTCAGTTTTAAGCTGATACGAATGCGATTCCAAGAAAAAAGAATAAAACCGTTGAACACCGTCAGTGTACGTTAAGAATAGGGAGCAAAGAGATCATTGATGCTTAGGATAAATAAAAAATGTCTTAAGTTGCTGCGTGGAAGAATATCTGACGTCATCGGGAATTCATCACAGGTGATGGAGTTAATGACCTGTTATGAAGGTAAAAGCTTATCCATTTCAATAAGTATAAGGGGAAGCCAGGGGCTTGGAGATTGAACATCAGTAATTTATGGTTCAACAAGTCAAGCGCATTATTAAAATCGATGTATACAACATCCGCGTAACAGTTGATCGATTGAACGGTAGCGAAAGCGAATTGCTGAGTTACAATTCGTTCAAATAATTTAGCTAAGACAATCAACTTGGCAATGCTTGTCTAGTTCTTGAAAAGGTGTGTGTCTCCACATTTGTGAAAGAATAGGGAAGCTGCTCTTCCAACACACAGAGAAAATACTTGATTACAAAAACTAATTAAAAATCATTGAAATAACACCACTTAGCTCGACAGAGCATGATTTGAGTATAGATGATGGAATGTCATCAGACCCAAGCGAACAATGTAATACGTTTCAAGCCGACTTGAAACATAATCAGGGTGTTGTGGGGATTACCAACAGTGTTAAAATGACGGTAACCCTCTTAATATATGTTCCATATTGTAAAAGAGTTAGTATGCTTGATCTAACTAATTCTAACTATAATTATTATAAATTTAGCCAGAGAATAAATTCTAAGACTAAAGTCTTGAAACACTAAGGCTGCTTTCGGGTTTATTAAAAACTCTACCGCACTTGAGGTTTGAACCCACGACTATTGAGTTGCTAATCGAGACTCTTGACTACTCGGCCACTCAGGCGGATTGATCTAACTAAAAAATAATGAATAAATTTCAAAAACGAAACTCAAGCTTCTTGTTAGGGAAAGTTGTGATCTGTATACATCTTCTTTATACGGAATTTTAATCCGTGTGAGCTTTGTTGCATCACTATTATGACAAACAGCTGGACTAGCGACTCCATAAGTTATTATTCTGCTGTCAAGTCTACCAAAATGTTGTCTGAGAATGTTGTATTGACAATTGAAGCCAAAGAAAATTGCTCACTGTCTGAGCGTTGATAATAAAGTTGTTACAAAACATGCAGTGAAAACGGAAATGAAAACACAACAATCAGCATTGGTACAGCAGAGACTCTCATGCAGATGAAAACAGATCGAAAGAGCCGTAAAAGGACAATGACAATGGCTGCGAAACAACAAAAGCAACAAGCATAACAACAACAAATGTTATAACTACGGTCAGCCGGGGCATTTGGCAGCAAAATGCATACTACATGCAAGAGACTAGAGAGAAACTTTTGTTTTAGAGCTGTTGGCATTTAACAATAACAGCAACAACTATGGTATTGTGAGGAAGAATGAGTGATATGTTAGCATATGACGTATGAAGAGAGGAAGGAAAAGGATGAATTCCTCATAATATTATTTCTGTGGGCATGAAACGATAAAATATGTGGTAACAGAACTACACTCGTCATATTCGACGTTAGTACAAAATGCCACCACAGTGACCGTCATGCACTAAAACCAAGTTAAATAATCACGACAGCAGAATTCAGTCTGAACACCGTACGACACGCTACCATAAGCAAACCTATCAAGAAGTTCAAAAATATCCATAATATGGTTTTAACGACATCAAATGTGGTAAGTGTAAGGTCAACACAAAAAAACTTTAACAACAACTAACGTTAGCAGTAATTAATTATGCTTATTATTAATGTTTTCCCTTTTAGAAACGGTAACTGATAATTGCCACTATCAGAATATGATAACTAAAAAGTTAGATAATTTTATTTCAGTGACAAAAGAAATCAACTAATCGATCGTATTCTTTCTCACGTTCCAAAAAAAGAACATTCAATAAAAAAAAATCGACATATATAATTTGTGCATGTCGTTGACGTATGGATTTTACTATGCCAAATGCTGTAATTTACCAAGGTTCCGCCATTCGACAGGACGTTCTGCTACGCTGGATGCTTGGAACAGAAAAAAAAGGAATTAAGTAGTATGTATTTTGATCGTAAAAAAAATTGTTTGCCACTAGGAATACATGAATAATAGAACCGATATAAGGAGATATTGTAAGGTAGGTCGCATCCAAACTCGTTCCCATGAAATGTATCGACAGATTCATACACGGAGATTATTTACAACGCCCTATTTAATCGATATCCTACACGGTATGTCTAAGTCGTATCAGTTGTACTTAAAAAGCAGCACCTCTACTTGGATTTACTCTAACAGGTGTCTCGTTGAATAGAGCGGAATGCTTAGCTTACGTTTAAAAATTGTCATGCAACGCGTATTAAACAATAATTAAAAGATTATTATACGTTCGTGCAGAAAATTCAGTTTACATAAAATTTGCTGGTGTCGATTTATATTTTGTAAGATAAATCTCATTCATTAACAAATTAATAGAATTGATCCAGCGTGAAACATCATAAGTAAACATATGTACTCGCCTGTATATATACTGCCTTCATTACTATATTATCTTTTTAACATTTTGATACTAGTGAGCTAATTTCGAGTCACAATGTACACCGTGTATGTAGCTAAAATTCATAGTTTAGCTGACACGTTATGTTGATTGTACGTCATTGTGAAACTTGAGGCGTATGCCATTGATA